TTGTGACCTTGTGTAAGTCACTTAACCCCATTTCCAGCTTTCTTAAATCAAAACGCCCAGGCTATTATGAAGAGCTTTGACAAACATTATTTTTAGCAAAGAGGAGCTGGCACCTGGAAGCAAAAGGAAACCATGCCCCTCCTCACCCTGCTGGACATTTATATGAAAAGAAAGGTTAAAGGTCATTTTTAGCTGTATGTCTTCCCTCTTTTTCTTGCGGTCTTTTAGTCCAAATCAGTAGTCTGTTTATTGGAGACTTACAAGTTAATGAAAGCTCTTTGGTGATAAATCATTTTAAATTGGCAATTGCTCTGGCGTGCTGAGCTTGAGAGAGGCTCTATTCCCATTTTTTCAACAAAAAATCAGCTGTGGTCTGTGACCCATTTACTCGGAGGTAAACTCAGCCTTGCCAGGCATAAAAAAAGATGGCGAAGGCATACAGTTTCACTGGCCCATGCCATGGCTGGGACTCCTTACTGGTTTGGAAAAGCTGCTTCTTCATTGTTTCTTTAGTGTTCTTCCATTAGTTGCAGTTGTACTTTGCACGGGCACTAATTAGAGAGCCATCAGCGTTGGGGTCCAAAGGCTTACTGACAATGCAACTGTCATAGTGGGGTCTTAATTGGTTGAGTGTAATTGCCATTAGGCAGCGATAAAGACATCTGGAGCTCTGGAGAAAAATCAACCCTTTCCCCTACCTTGCTTGAATGTCTGTTCTTGCTTCTGCTGGCCAACGTTGGTAAGTGCTTGTAGATCACGGTGAAGGTTTGGTCCAGGTCCCTCTGCCCTACCAGTGTTTTACCCTGGCGAAAACGTGTTTCTTTAGCACTGAGTCCCATTGCCACTGCTGTGGTTGCTTTCACTTGTGTTAGATTTTAGAACCTGCAGTGTAGTCATCACTCTATTTATTCTCTGTTCCTATCATGAAAGAGATGTAAAGTCGCTTACATTTTCCTTCCTGGGTCCTTTTGCAACAAAATGTTTGTGTTATTACCATGCTCTTTAGCCATGAAGAATGGAGTTAATTCAAATGGCTATGTTTACTGAAATAATTTAGCTTATCTTGTGTTTTATAATGACTTTAATCAGTTTAGAAACACATGCAAGAATTCTAATGCATATTGATGTGTGCATTCTGGGTGTTTCATTGATCAATAGCACTGGAAGGTGGGCAGCAGATATGGAAGGAGGTGCCACTCAAACCATTTAGTTACTTGTGGATGGCCCCTTTCAGCCATTTGTTTACTGTTAGCGGTGTGTAAGGCACTGTGGTGGAGGCTGTGGCATTGGGATATGGCCTTCACGAGGACTTCACAGTGAGGAGACAAGGAATGTAGCAATGAATGCCGTTTCCTCAGATATGGGCATGGTAGTTGTGTTAGAGAAGGTTTCATGGAGGAGGAGAGCCTTTGCTAGACCTTGAGGAGTTAGTGGACTTGGGGCAAGTTAGAGATTCTCAATCTTGGCAGCACTTTGGAAATATTGATACCTGGTTCTACCTTCAGAGAGTCAGTTCTTTGTTTTTGTTTTTAATTATTTTTATTGATTTCAGAGAGTAGGGAGAAGAAAAGAGAGATAGAAACATCAATGATGAGAGAGAATCATCGATGGACTGCCTCTGCACACACTGGGAATCAAGCCCACAACCCTGGCATGTGTCCTGACCGGGAGTTGAACCATGACCTCCTGGTTCATAGGACAACCCTCAACCATTGAGCCACCTTGGCTGTGCAAGAGAGTCAGCTTTTCTTTTTTTTAAATATTTTATTGATTTTTTTACAGAGAGGAAGAGAGAGGGATAGAGAGAAACATTGTTCAGCTGCCTCCTGCACAACCCCTACTGGGGATGTGCCTGCAACCAAGGTACCTGCCCTTGACCGGAATCGAACCTGGGACCCTTTAGTCCGCAGGCAGACGTTCTATCCACTGAGCCAAACCGGTTAGGGCAAGAGAGTCAGTTTTAATTGGTCTGGGGTGTGCTTGAGTACTGGGAGTCTTAAAAGCATCCCAGGTGATTCTATAATGTGCACTCAAGGTTTAGACCCACTGGGCTGAGTGGGGAGGAGGGAAGGCCTCCAAAAAGTTGGGTGCTGTGAGCTGAGGTTCAGAGGCAAGAGTGTTCAGAAGCCAACGAGTGGAGGCTGGCTCATGCTACGGACGAGGAGGAAGCGAGGCTGGAAGAGGAGTGGGCGCTAAGCTGGGGAGTGTTCTCAGTGCCAGGCCAGTAATTACAACTTCATTCCGTGAGGGGTTAGGGCTCCGTATTGACCGAGGACTTTCTGGGTGTCCAGTGCTCTTCTAGTCTGACAATTCCAGCCACTGAACCACGGCTGTGAGCAAGACCCAGCCCCTGTCCTCAGAAGCTTGTAGGTTTGTAGGGGAGATGAACAGTCAGATAGTCACACACCGTTGCAAAGAGAGAGGCAGGATGATTCATGGAGTCCATTATTTTTGAGGACTGGGCTTGTGCAGGGTTGACTGGCGGTGGGAGAAGCTTAGATATAGGGGGGCTGCTGCCTGGTACGCTGTGAGGGCTTGGGGGATGGAGACTAGTGTGGCATTCCTGGGAACGAGAAGAAAGGGTGCAGCGATTTGAACATTATTGCAGTGTGGGCCGCAGGCAAAAAAAAAAAAAAAAAAAAAAATCACCAGCAAAATAAGGAATTCAGCAACGGGCTACTTTGGTGTTAAGCTGAAACTTTTGAGGCCTGCACATATTTAACTTAAACGTGTGGAGGCGCAGCGTGAGTGGGACAACTTCATTCACGGAAGCAAAGGCTCACTGGGAGTGTGAGATGTGTAATTAGGAGTGCTCTTCTCTGTGGCTCTCTGCCCTCCCGCTCGCCTCTTCCCTGAGCCATGAGACAGCACACGTTGCATCCCACAGGTCACTGTTGTGGGATCCAGCAGTTTTCGAAGTTTGGGTGGTTGTTGTTTTACCTGGAACCTCATCATATAAAGGAGGCTGCGGTGGGTGGAACTCAGCCACCAAAATTCTCGCCTCTGTTCTGTGGCACCTGAGGTGCCGCAAAGGACCACATGGAGACCACTGGTGTGGCTCCAGGTACAGGTAATGAGAGACAGAATGGCTGAGACTAATGGAATAGAAGTACATTTTCCTGGTTTGTGCATTTCTTTTTCTCCAAGTTCTTTAGTTCTCTCATCCCCAAATTCCCTTTCTTCCCCCACCTTCTCTGAATGTTTGAAAGACATTGTCATCCTTCTCACCTTTTCTTTTCTGAATCGGCTAGTTCCTTTCACTTTGACATTAACCCTAAGAATCTCCTTACACAGTCTAGAATTCCAAACATGTCATCTCTGTTTAATGCCTCTCGCTAATAGGAAGTGGCCTCACTCCGGGGATTGCCTGGGTCATTTCCGGAGAGGCAGGGTGAGCCTGGAAGTTGTGGTGCAGTGGGTGTGTGTTCTTGTGTGGGGTTCCTCGTTAGGGAGGGTCATCTGGAACACTGCCTGGAGGGCCCGGGAGCCAGCAGCCATCCACCCTTGCTCGTGCAGCACCGGCTGATGGCACCGTGGAGTGGGCGATTCTGTCCACTGAGGGTGAGTGGTCAAACAGGCCCATCAGTCCAGTGTTAGAAAGCACGTGCCTCTTATTGGCGCGCTCTCCACGCACACTCTCCACGTGCTGTCTGCAGCGAGAGGATCCTCCAACCTGGAGAACCTGCGACAGAATGACCTTTGAATTACACAATCTTTGTATGTACTGCCAGTTATTAATTTGAGAGAAAGACTACTTACTACCTTGAGTAAATGAAGCATTCCTAAATTACGAGTATTCTTAATTTCCTTATTAAGAAATCTCACGTGAGAAATTGAGCTATAACTATTTTGTAATGAATCATGCTATACATTGCAGTAATTAAATAAACCTCAGAGGTTATTATGGGATCAAAGAAACCCTGAAAGGCCCGGCTGGTGTGGCTCAAGGGTTGAGCCTCGACCTATGAACCAGGAGGTCATGGTTTGATTCCCGGTCAGGGCACATGCCCGGGTTTTGGGCTCAGACCCCAGGATGGAGCATGCAGGAGGCAGCCAATCGATGATTTTCTTTCATCATTGATGCTTCTGTCTTCCTCTCTGAAATCAATAAAAATATGTTAAAAGAAACCCTGAAAGAACAATGGCTTAGAAACCGCCTAAATTGTCTATGTTTGTGTGAGTAAATACGGACTCTTACACCCATCTCTGACTGCCTCCCCACAGTTGCTGTATGTGTTGAATGGAGCCCTCTGTGGCAGATGTAAGGAACTTGGCGTAAATACCCCAGTGGCAGGCAGTGCACCACCTCATCATCTGGCCAGTCCATTTCCTAGTGGCCTCGGGTCTGCTCAGGTTCTGGCCCTGCCGGGGCGTTGATGGAGAGCTTCATTTGCTGTAGTGGCAGCAGTAATAGCGGAGAGTGAGGGCTCCTATTTTCTAAGTGGGCAAAACTGGGAGTGTCATGCATTACAGCAAGAGCTTTTCGTGAGAAGGCAGCATTGTCTGGCTGCTAAAGGCAAGATTTAATTGTTTCAGCAAATCAATTAGTCTTTAGGGACTTTAATCAGTCAAATCTGATGCGTGGATGAGGTATTAGAAAGCTTGTGCCTGGAAAACCATTAGTCCTTAGTTTCTCTCTGCCTGTCTTTCTTGTGTGTTTGTGTGTGTATGTAAATACCGTGGCTTCTACAAATTTGTCCTCATGACCTCTTTACTGGAAGAACTTAAGGTTATAATAGTGAAAAAGGAAAAACAAGGAGATCTCGATGCCCACTTCTTTATGGTCTAGTGTTCTCTTGGAGTTGTCAGCATTGTGCTCTGAGGATGTGAAAGGTGCTCACAGCCTTTCTGTTCCCAGGGTGACAGTTTCTCCCATTGGAGTCACTCATCTGAGCGGTGGTCCAGGGGTGGTTCCACTCTATCCCAGGCTCTCCCTGTTCTCTCCACTGAGGCCCTGCTCTCTGTCTCCACTTGGAACCAACGAGGTCCTTCTTTTCCAGATACACATCAGGGGACGTGAGGGTGTGGGACACCCGCACCTGGGACTACGTAGCCCCCTTCCTGGACTCCGAGTATGAGGACGACGAGCCTGGAATGCAGCCATATGTCTCCTTTGTGAGGATAAACAGCTCGCTGGCAGTGGCAGCTTATGAGGATGGTAAGTAACCACAACCCTCCTCCCTATTAAGGAAAAAAAAAAGCTTTACAAAAATTAAGCAGCTGTGGCCGGCTCCCACATGTAATCCCTCCATACATACACGTGGGCACACACACATGTTCACACACATACACTCTTTGCTTTATGTGAAGAAGTAGGCCAATAACCCACAGTGCATTTGTAGGCATCGGAGCACAGCACCCATTACACTGGTGCTTCATTCCTGCTGGAGCTGTCAGGCTGTGTGAGAGGCAGGTGTGGGGCGGGCCAAGCCATCTTAACAAAGAACTTGTTTGGTGTAAAATATTAAATATACTTGGCCTACTTTTCCTTTAGTCTCTGCCTAGTTCAGAGGGAACAGTGAAAAGGGTAGACATAGATAATCTATTGACAAATATGGAAATAGAAAAATAAAAGTCAGGGCCTAGCTTTCTGGCACTTACATGATTTATGGTAATATGTTGTCTTGCTGGGACTGATTTTTGCACACAAGCAACTGTGGATTTCCGAATTAGGTGAGAATAGTCTAATACAGGAATACTTGGCAGTTTATAGCTAATAGGAATAATAGTTGAAATGGCCGTGAAAATCCTATATTCCTTCCACATGCTCCTGACTTCACTATAGTGTAAAATTTGAATTTCCAATACTGTTTCCCTACTTGCCTGAGGGCTGGACCACAGATAGTTGAGAATGTTCGTGTTCATGTCGTGGCCCCATTGCACATCTTCAGAGTTAGTGTTATTGGTTGGCTCAGAGGGAAACCACTGTGGTAAAATAAGTTAATGGGGAATTTCATATTCATATGCCATTGGAAAAAAATTAGGGCTGACATCTGTAAAATATTTTCATTTTAGTATTTTAAGAACATGAATGCTGTTCTTCTGGCTTGACAGTATTGATGGTCTTTTATTCAGCCTCTAGATATCCGGCTAAGCTGGGTTTCTTTTGGTATATAGTATTTTTTTATCTGTTTATTGAGATCTTGGGTAGATAACATATGAGCAGCTTGAGTGTGTTTGCTACTTCCCAAATTATCAATGAAATGTAGTACTTTTAAGTTAGAATCATACAGAGTTAGAAGTATCCAGTAGCCTCCCCTGCCACACACACACACGTGCACATTTTTCTTCTGGAGGGGAAACTGAGGTCCAGAGCCCCCAGTTAAGTGATTTGCTTGCGGATGAGCCATTAATCAGTGGTGAATCCAGAACTGTGCTGTGTCCCTGGGACCCTGCATGGTCGTAGTGCTGGTCAGGTAACAGTGAGCACAGACACAGAAACAGGCACCCAGCTCTTGTACCTCCACTTCTCATATCTGTGAGCTTGAAAACAGAGTTTGAGGTGATGTGCAAGTGTGCTGCAGGTTTATATTGTTGGTTAAAATTGTCTTTGTCACCAACACTGGGAGACCATGTAGATATGATAGAGAAACTACTTTTGTCTGCATGTACTTGGCACGTAATTGCCAAAATATATACTGAGTGGCCAGATTATTATGATCTCTGAAAGCATAATTGGCCACTCAGTGTATATCCTATGTAATAAAAGGCTAATATGCAAATTGTCCCCTCGACCAGGAGTTCGACCAGCAGTGTTCCTCCCTGTTCCTCTGCCTCTAAGCCCCCTCACATTTCACACGCAGACGCTACGCTAGGTATTTTTCTGCACCAGACAACAAAAGGAAAGACTAAGGACTATTTAAAATAGCTTATTAATTTGTCATCTCCTCTTCAGTGAACTGTGTGCGTTATTTTTCTAGATGGTAGTTGTGTGTGTGTGTGTAAGATTTTAATTTTTAATTCATACGGAGTGGCTTTATAGTTTAATATTTTTGATTAAGCATATATTTTTGAAGATGTAAAATCAAACTAATACAAACAACTAATAACACAATGAAAATATATTGGGACGTCTTGCTTCTATTCATTTTTGTCAACTCCATTCTAAAGCAGTTTGTTGTTAATCCTTGCAGTATTTTTGCATTGCGAATACAGATATCAATTTTTATAGCCCCTTTTAAAAATAAAGGATGATAAACTTCCTTATGGTAATCCATAAGTTGGCTTTTTTCACTTAATAACATATCTTTTTTATTGCATAAATTTGATATGTAACATTGTATAGTTTAAAGTGCAAAGTGTGTTACTTTCATATATTTATATAGTATAGCCTGATTGCCAGGTACAATATTATTGTCTAAATTCATTTTACTGTGCATTAGAACCTTATGGCTCATTTACAACTTGTTATAGGTTTATACCTTTAGATGCCATCAATCATTTCCTCTGGTAACCATCATTTTACTGTTTGTTTGTTTTTTACAGTTTTGACTTATTTAGATTCCATATATAAGTGATTATACAGTATTTGTCTTTCTCTTTCTGACCATCTCACTTAGCATAGTACACTCAAGATTCATCTATGTTGTCACAAATGGCAAGAGGTTGTCTATCCTGAAATAGTATGATATATGCATTTGAGTATATCCTTTTCCTAGCATCTCTTTTTAGAAAGTCCATCTCTGTCTACTCACTGGTTGGAGGTGGCGCCTTTACAGGTTTGTAAGTATGAATTCTTTTAGTATTTGTCTGCTTCTGGATGTTAAGTTCTGGTCCAGTGGTCTGTCCAGCTGTTCACATTCACATCGTCCTGTTTATTATCACTTGTGTCCTGTTCTGGGAGCTGTTCCTATTCTAGGTAGAGTCTGCAGTACTTCCATGCCTGCATCGTTCACACTGAAATCTGACCTGTCTCAAATTCCTTTTGATACTAGTATTTTGATATTAGAATTTTGATATCAAAATTCCTTTTGATATTAGGAGCTGTTGTGTTTTTCTTGCCTTGCTGTGCAGAAACACTGTACACCCTCCTGGGGTACTGAGCTTTGATAAGAGCTGTTGTGTTTTCTTGCCTCTCTGTGACTCTGAGCTTGTTTTACCAGTCTGATTGGGGTTGTTACTATTTCTGCGGTAAACAACAACTTCTCACTTTCTCCGCAGACCTCAGGTGGCATTGTCTGCGGTTTCACTTCAGTGTAACAGATTGTCATGGCAGTATTCATACCAAATATTCATGAGGAGCTACTTCTGGGCAAAGACAGATTGAAATGATCAAACGTATATTTTCACGTTCCTCCTTTCCAGGAGCAGAGAACAGGCTCTTCTTAGGTACAGCAGGGCAGAAAGGAAACTTACCTTGTGGGGTGTGCTGTATAAAATTTGTAACTGTGCCCCACAGAAGAGGAGAATGGGATAATAAAATGAGTTAATGAACTCCAGCTCCCTGGTTGTGCCAACGGGAAGCTCTGTAGCCGCTGAGACCTGATGGTGATCCGCACACAGAAAGAATCAGATCCAGAGGAGGGATGGAAACGGCTTCGGGAGGCAGTGAGTCATCCCTTCATCCCCTTCAGCCTCCTTGCTGCGCAGGAACACTGTACACCCACCTGGGGTACTGAGCTTTGGCAAGGTGATCCACAGTTGTGATTTTTTGAATTCCAACCCACTGGCCTCATATTTCTTCTGCCTTGTTTCCGATTGTCAGCACTGGCCATCCTCCAGTTGATTTTACCACTAATTGTGTTGCACGTTACCGTACCAAAATGAATCAAATCAGAATGCTTTTCCTGGAGCATTAGATAAAGCAGGCGAAGGTTCTGAGTAATGAGCAGATGCTGCTAATGCGGGGACAGTGGGAGACCTTGCCAGGACTCCATCTGCTCCATGCTTGCCTGCCTTTGGCCTTGAGCCACAGCATTAGGGAACGGCAGCGTCCTGGAAACCCACTCCCTGTTCACAGAGTTTGTCTTGAAAACTCACTCTGTGCAGAGAGATGAGGCTACACTCTTCTTAGGTGCAAAGAAGTTCGTTCTTGTTCCCCCAAAGTGGGGAGAAGAGCGACAGGACCCAGTGCAGTTTAGCATGTGGAAACCTAGATGGGACAGCCAACAGTCGTCTTTCTTTGGTGCCATCAAGCAAGGCAAAGTGGCTTATCCACTTCTGCAGCGCTCCCAGTGTCATTGTCTGACACACACATGCTCCATTGTCCGGGACTGGCTGCCCTGGGCTGGAGTGGCTCTGATTTCTCATTTACTGACATATTAACAATGGATGGAAGTGGGTCTCTCCAAGCTTCTTTTCAGCAGTGAGCAGCAGGACTGTGTTTTAGTTAGGCGGCTGTGGAGACTGATTTTGTTTAGTGAAAGATCAGCTCTTCATCATTTTGCTTCTGTTTCTTATTTGTATGTGGATGATGACATTTGAATGTAGTGCCCTAACCTTTGAGTGCAATATTCAATCTCCTCCCCTGCCCTGGTCAAAATGGAAGTTTGAGAAGTGGGTTATGAAATTACTGAAGCATTGCTTGGAGATGGCTGAGACAGTTGGCTGTGGATGGGGAGAATTTTGTGTTTTGTTTTGTTTTCAAGGCCTTTCTTTTCTGGTCTTTTTTTCTTTTAGAAGTTTCAGTAATCAGTTCTTGCCTGAAACCTGTGCCTACTGTGCTTAAATTTAGGAATCTTAGACTCTCAGTGAACAAAATAAAATGGAACAACTTTCTGACAAAACAAAACAAACAAACAAAAATACTCAATATATTCCTTTTCAAAGATAGGATACATTAGTAAATTTAAACAATTTATTAACAGAAGGAATGCTTGCAGAAAAGGTATACATTTATATAAGGTATAATACTTATATAAGGTATAAATGCTCACAGTTTAAAGCTGTTCAGAGTGGAGTTAAAAAAGGAAATGCAGAATTCTGAACTGAGGTGGTTATTTCTGTGTTGAGGAAATACTAGTATTTCTTACGGCATTGAACTTGAATGTTGACTGCCACCTGGTGCGGTCTAGAGTGTTAGATTTCCAAGGCAAGCCATAGAGATTGTTTCTGTGATGGAGGAAATTACTGAATAAAATGCTTTTTAAAGATTTTTTTCTATTTTCAGTGAGAGGAGTTTGAAATTCTACTTGCTTTACACTTGCTTATGAATGCTTT